CAGATTAGAAACAGTAATACGGGTATTAATTGAAAAAATCCACTTGTAAGTGGACCCAGGCAATTCAAACTTGTGTTATTCAGAGTTACCTTTGCCCTGTTTAAGATAGATAATTAAGGTACATGTTTTAAAGCCCTTGATGAATATTCTTTTGTTTGTGGTTGTATTGCCTCTTTGATATACAATTAGGTGTCTTTGGTTTGAATTTGGAATTTTTTAAAAAATATTTTTATTGATTTCAAAGAGGAAGGTACAGGGAGAGAGAGAGAGAGAGAGAAACATCAATGAGAGAGAATCACTGATTGGCTGCCTCCTGCATGCCCCCCACTGAAGACCAAGCCTGCAACCTGGGCATGTGTCCTTGACCGGAATCGAACGCAGGACCCTTTAGTTCGCAGGCCAACACTCTATCCACTGAACCAAACTGGCTAGGGCTGGAATTTTTTAAGTTTTATTTATTTATTAAATATATTTTATTGATTTTTTACAGAGAGGAAGGGAGAGGGATAGAGAGTTAGAAACATCGATGAGAGAGAAACGTCGATCAGCTGCCTCCTGCACACCTCCCACTGGGGATGTGCCCACAACCAAGGTACATGCTTTTGACCGGAATTGAACCTGGGACCTTTCAGACTGCAGGCCGATGCTCTACCCACTGAGCCATACCTGTTACGGCTAAATTTTATTTTTATGTACAAAATAATTACATGGCTCTCATAAATCAAAATTATACGAGATATCAGAAATCTCAGGTATATCCTGATCTCCCACACTATAGACAGCCATTTCTGTTTCTGCTTTATCCTGCATAAATAGGCATGTGTGCACCTATAGCTGCCCTTGCTTTCCCTCCTGTCTTTCATAACAGGTTGCAAGTACCGTTTACACTTGTGTGTCTTGCTGATTATTCAACATGTCTATGAAGGTGTCAGTTTGTAGTGATTGTGTTTGAGTGGTTTTCAGACCTTTGGCTGTGGAATGCCATGGGGACTAATCTTGGGCAGATGTTGTTTTGTACTTGGTGAGGGCCGTGGTCAGGGTCTGTTTCTAGCACTCGGATTCCTGGGTCCATGGGAGAATGCAAGGTCCTCTGCATGGGTGTGGTCCCAGTGTGCACCCCACCAGGACTCTGCACAGCCTCATGACAGAGGTTGCCAAGCTTTTGGGTCTTTGCCCTTCTGATCCAGTGAGACCCGGTATCTTGGTGTAGTTTATATTTAGTGTGCTTCAATTTGAATGGAAAATGGAAAAATAGGCTTTTCTAAATTGAATATATTTAGTTGTAAAAGCATTTAAGACCATTAAATGAAAGGTGCTCCTTATATTGGTAAGTCACCAAGTTTGATCAAGCACTGCCAGGTTGAGAATGGAAAACCCCACCAAGGAGAATTCTCACTTTCATGCTCACTCTGCATCGGTTTTCAAAATAATGAATCATTTTCCTATCATCCTCCAAAGGTGACCAGTTGATTTTTGTTTGGTATTATAAGCTCATAGATTTAAACATACTGGGTGAGTTTTAAGCAGGGACCTCCTTGTCTGCATGACAATCCGTGTTTAGTCTGTGAATTGGTTGTTTCAGAGATTAGCTGCAGGCTTCTTAGTTCCTCGTTGATGTGTCCTTTCTGATAGCAAAGGGGAATGAAATGGATTTCAGGGAGTTCAGCTTTGCTGATTATAGCAGCAGCAGGTGCCTCCATACATGGATGGCACGTGCAGGCATCAATTCTAGCCCAAACCAACCGTTGTATGACATGCAAGGTTTTTTCTGTGTTGCCCCAATCCTTTATTAATAGGCGATTTGAATTTAAACTCCTACCTTTTCATTTTTCCTTTATTTTCTAGTTTTAAAGTATTTTCAAAAAGTAGCTTTTAAAAATCAAAGAATGAGCTTTTCTATTTTAAATTACCATTATAGAATTTTTTTCTATGCAAATTGAAGCTGATAGATCCCTGACACTACAAGGTTTGAAATGTGTAAATCAGTTAAGTGCTTGACCTGATTTCATCTTTTGTAGGTAATGCAGGAACATCAAGATGGTGCCGTTCCTGTTTCCAAGGCAACAACAGGTCTACACAGCATGAATTTACATCTGCACCAAGAAGTACTTTATACAACTCCTGGAAAGCAGTGATCTGGGCCCTGAGATGATGTGCTCCTGAGTTGCTTCTTCTGTTTTCCAGTAACATGTATGATTAGCCATATTCATGAACATCCTGAAAGTTAGAATTATTTTGAAAACACTGAAGATAATGGATGTTTGGGGGCAAATTGAGAGCTTAGATTATTTTCTTGCCAAA